TATTCAGCCCGTTCTGGTAAACATGCATGAATTTCCAAAAGTTTCTTTAGCTGAATTGAGTCAGACAGTATTATGCTTACCGAGGACGGCTCCCGGACCAGATGGGATTACGAACTCTGTGTTGAAATGTTTACTCCAGGAATCGCCTAATCTCTTGCTAGAACTAGTGAACTATTCGTTGGGGAACGCATGGATACCTCCAGAATGGAAACTTGCCAAAATTGTATTGTTGCTAAAATACAAAATGATGCATACACGTTGGATAACATAAGGCCGATCGCACTGACATCAAACTTAGTGAAATTGGTTGAGAGAATCATCAATACACGAAATAATGAACTTATTACCATGAGGTCAATTCTTTGTCCTTGTCAAATTGGGTTCAGGGCTGGTTGTTCAATTTGGGATGCCCACGTTGATTTAAAGAGTCGACTTCAATTAGCTCGGCTACACAAAAAATATGCAGCTTTAGTTACTTTAGACATCGCTAAAGCATATGATACGGTGGAGCACTGTATTTTGATAGATTGATTAGAATACCTTGATTTTCCATCATGCTTAGTAGCGTGGGTTCACAATTTTCTTGCAGACAGGAAATTTTATTGTTTTAAAGATGGGTTTTCATCATCTACTCATCCCCAAACGAGGGAAGTACCGCAAGGCTCGGTGATTTCCCCGGTGCTATTTAGTTTACTAATGAGCACTATTCCACGTAAACAGGATATAACAACTTATGTTTATGCAGACGATATCGCATTTTTTGCGATGGCAGATAACATTCAGACCTTACATGAATGGCTGCAGACTTACCTTATTATATTGGAGAGCTGGCTCGATGGCAACAGCTTTTTACTTAATTCCGAGTAAATGTGCCCTCCTAGTTTTCCCGCTGCAATACCCTGTGAACATCTCTCTGTCTTACCATCATGAGAATATACCACAGGTGGAATCTGTTAAATACCTTGGAGTAATTTACCACACATCGCTTAACTGGCGACCTCATATCGAATATATCACATGAAAAGGTGTGCAGGCCATTGGAATATTACGTATGCTAAGCAATTACCGCATAGCTATGAGAAGAGACACATTGGTAATGATATATCGCATGTATGTTCGTCCCATTTTGGAATTTGGTTGTGTACTTTTCTCTGGAGTTCCAGCTTACAAGTTGCGGCCTCTAATTCTTCTGGAAAGAGAAGCTTTGCGCTTATGCCTTGGCCTTCCCAAAACAGTTGCCAACAATGTGTTCTATCTCGAATCGAGGGTCCCTCCGCTTTCTTGTAGAATTCGCCTTCTGACTGTTCAGACATTCTTAAGAATTTGTGAATCACCATTACGACATTCAGAAACGGCCTTTATTTTCACCCCGGAATCATTTTTTGCTGCTAGATGGCCGCGATTTCACACGCCACAAATTATATTTGTGCAAAATTTACTGGAGCCTCTAAACGTACGTATATGCGACATCATGCCGAGTCATGATAATTTAGCCCAGCGGAAATTCGATTCGACGACATTTTTCCTAATAATGCCAAATTACTTCCCTGTAATATTTTAGATGGTTTACTACAAGATCACCTGCGCCGTATTACAACGAACGTTATTATTGCTACAGACGCATCGCAATACGACGAAAAGTCAGGGGTTGGTATTTTCAGTCCAATTTTAAATTGGATTTATTTCCTTCGACTACCCGATTTTGTACCTGTTTTTGTGGCTGGGTGTCTGGCAGTAGTGCTCGCCTTACGCAAGTTAGATACAGCAATTACATCAGCTGTCATAATAACAGATTCCCTATCTCTCTGTGCGGCACTTTCTGTTGGTGCTGATAATCACGTAACAAAGGCGTTCCGTGCGGTAGTACCTGCGCATTTGAGAAAAGTACAATTAGTTTGGGTGCCTGGACATAAAGGTTTGTTTCTAAATGAAATAGCCGATTCCTTAGCTAAGTCGTCAATCAGCCAACCAATTCTACCACTCTGTCCATCATCCGCTTATGTGAGTGCTGCTCGATTCCGCAGACGTACGCTTATGCAAGTCTTTAAAGGTTCAGCCCTAACAAACTCTACAGAATATCGCCATTTATTACATCCCTGGCGAAGAGACCTTTGCCGCACTCGAAAACAAGAAGTAGCTATCACAAGGCTGCGTTGTCGATTACCAAATCTAAATTTCTATAAACACAGGTCTGCTCAGGCACCTTCGCCACTGTGTGCATTCTGTGATGAACTGGAAACAATAGACCATTTCTTTTTGACCTGCAGGCGGTTTAACACATTACGAAAAACCCTATTAGAAATACCTTTACGTGGTATTGGTATGGACTTATCTCTGCCTGTCATTTTGTCTTTTGGAGCTTCCATTTCTGGTTTCTCTAATGCGACAGTATGCGCGGCCGTCCGGGACTATATTGATGAAATTGATAGGTTGACTAATTAACCAGTTTCACTATCCTAACAAGTTGCCCCGCCACGGTGGTCTAGTGGCTAAGGTACTCGGCTGCTTACCCGCAGGTCGCGGGTTCGATTCCCGGCTGCGGCGGCTGCATTTCCGATGGAGGCGGAAATGTTGTAGGCCCGTGTGCTCAGATTTGGGTGCACGTTAAAGAACCCCAGGTGGTCAAAATTTCTGGAGCCCTCCACTACGGCGTCTCTCATAATCAAATGGTGGTTTTGGGACGTTAAACCCCAAAAATCAATCAATATCCTAACAGGTTCACATAACTATATACGTATAAAATCTGATTATTGCTCTATTCTGAGAATAAATTCGTTTATGTAAATATTTGTATGCATTACAATTAGCACCACACTTTTCTAGGCTATCGGTAATCTTTCTGTTAAACCTCCATCATTCCAAATTTGAACAGTAAATGTTGAAACCACTCGATTCTTGGCCAATCCCCCACTGTGGGTATGCGCCACAAACAATAGAAAAACAACATTAACAACAAATTTAGCAACACTCTCAGTGTATCAATGCAGAAACGTACTGTGAATGTCATCGGGACTAGGGGAAGCTTTAGCCTTTAAATTCAGAAGCATATATACAGCACCAAATATAGACTTAATGTCTGAGTCGAGATAAGGAGTGGTAGCATAAGCGTGTGCGATGTCGCAATCTTTTCGGAAAACGCTTTGAAAGTACTCATTGAAATGTGTAGCTATGCTTGTTTTATTTGGCCCCGCCGCGGTGGTCTAGTGGCTAAGCTGCTCGTCTGCTGACCCGCTGGTCACGGGTTCAAATCCCGGCTGCGGTGGCTGCATTTTCGATGGAGGCGGAAATGTTCTAGGCCCGTGGGCTCAGATTTGGGTGCACGTTAAAGAACCCCAGGTGGTTGAAATTTCCGGAGCCCTCCACTACGGCGTCTCTCACTTACATATGGTGGTTTTGGGACGTTAAAGCCCACATATCAATCATCTTGTTTTATCTGTAACAATTGTATGAATATAAAATATTTGACGAGTAACGTCTTTTTTGCGAAATAATTGCGACCAGAATTTATCAGAAGCCGTGCGCATGAAGTCTGGTAGAATACGTTGAAAATAAAATTGCTTAGCACATTGACAGACTGATTTGAGAGTGGTTTGTTGGAATTGTTTTCTGAGATGCACGACGACGACGTCTTCGTTTATGATGAAAAATGCCACGGGTGATCCACGAATGCTTTTTCGCGATACTTTTCATCGTACTGGGCACAAATTTATTTATACCCTATTGAAAATCGTGGCTTGGTGGATGCTGGAGTCGTTGGTGGCTTTGGTGGAAAAAAATAGGAGATATGGTGAAAATAATAGTGGATATTGTGGAAACTGTAGTGGGCATAATTGGTGATGGCGGCCAGAGTGAAAAACAAATGGTGGATGATAGTGGTGGTCGTGACAAGCCAATGGTGGTGATGGTGGAAAATGCCGGCTGATGACGACTAGAGTGGAAAAAATGATGGCAGATGGTGGTGGTGGTATCGAGCCAATGGTGGTGACGGTGGAAAATGCCGGCTCATGGTGGCGAGGCAAAACGTGTTTGGTGGATGGTTTTGGTGAGCAAGGTGGATGACGGTGGCATGATGAAAGCCTGGTGGATGACGGAGGCATGATGAAAAGCACGTTACCATATGTGAAATCACTTATTTGTAGTGTTTCACTCTTGCATTGGCAGATATATATGTTTACAGTCAAAAGAAACCAACGCTGCTCATTATGCTTTCTAGTACGATTTCTTTTATTCCTGTGGTGTCGACAACGTACGATTTATTTATGTGAAGCACAGAATATGCAGCCGCGAATATGTTTACATTTTGCGCACGTACTTACATCAGTTTGACATGCGCGATGTGTTTTTTTTTGTTGTGATGTTTAGAAGACTAGACTTTTCAATGTGAACATGACAATAAATGTTTTACATCGGCGAGCAGTTGTCTACAAGTAAACGGGCTCCAATTCACAATCGCTCGTTTCAATGTTAGAGCAGAACACAGCGGTCACTTCATCCCAACAAACACGAAACGTCGTATAGACTTCTCGAAACGACTAGAAAAGTATGCGGACATCTAGGTATAATATTTGACGTTGAATAAACGATTTTCAAAGGAAGTTTTTTAGAAGACGTTGGCAAAACGTTTTTTACAAAAAGTCTTTTTCAAAATGTTTACTAAACGTTATTTTCTAGAACTTTGGTAGAATTCGCGGATGAGGTCTCGGGGGTGTTTTCTACGTTTCTTTCTTTTTTTAATCAAATCATATTCGCTTTACATATTTATATTGTATATATTTTTACGTAGTTTTTACATATTTAAATGTAATCACTGAGCTCTCTAGTCAGCATTAAAAGTTAAGATATGCAAATGCGGTGTAAGCCTGCGCGGCTACAACAATTTTACTTGTCTGGATGTGTTTACCGGCTGCTCAGTCGCCTCTTGAAGAAGCCGGTTTGAGTCGATTTCCTTCACGTTTTAATAGTGTGGTTGAACTTTGTGTTCGTGTTTTGTGTTCTGCCAGCGCTGCTGATTACGAAGATGCGCTATACTCAAGCAAAGACGTGTGGCTCCGTATCGTGGAGCACTCGCCAGGTATGTACCACGCTGCTGTTGCCGGTGCTTTGTTATCACTGCACGTTTTTCCTACCATGCGCACGATAAGTGAGCTTTTCTTTACATGAGGACCCAATTTTTCTGCAGTACTTCAGTAGTGCAAAGGCAATGTTGTGCGAAATGAAGCACGGACAAGTTTTTTCTTTTGTGTGGAGCGTGAAGCATGCACGCGTGGCGTGAATTCGGCGGCAGATTCGAGCAAAGTTGTGGCGGCTGTTTGCCTCTGTTGGCAGTGCTGTTGGAGGGGGGGGGGGGGGGCCTGCTCGCGAGTGACTACTATTTTTCTTTATTAGTTCTGGGGTGTTTGTTAGCTGTAGGCGTCGATGCCAGTTTGTATTGCGCGCTATTGAAGTGAACGTGTCTAAGGCAGTTTCATCTGCTGTAGACTCCATTTTACACAGCTGTAGTATCGTTATACGTTATGACTACTACCAGAGAAGTTTTGGCAAGGTTTTGTTTGGTGTCTTTCAATTTTTTCCTTGCGAGTGGCCGAATGTATGCCGGTGTGTGCATCCGCGCCGGCACGCGTTTTTATAAAGTACCGTGATACTCGAGTTGATGCGTGTTCGTGTGCAGCGTGTTGCATCGTCTTAGGTAGGGCTTGCAAAGGTTGCACCTACACTGTAAGTGTTCATGCAGCTCGTTTAGTAAAATTCTAACTTTCTGTATACACCAGCAACATAGGTTGCCTCATTTGGCCTGATTCCGTGCATTCTAAGGCAGTCGTTTATCCTGAACTCTATTTTAGAACGAATATTTAAGGGCTAAATGTGGCCAAATCGCTTTACCTTACTGTGCGAGCACTAGTTCACTCATAAATCCACGCGTTCGAGCACCATCGATTTTACTCTGCTTGTTTCTACTATGCATTTTCATTTGGTTTATTAATTCTTTTATGCACCTCCCCCAACCTTGGTGTTGAAACTTTGCTTAACACATTTACGTGTATGAACAGTAAGAATAATTTATAGCACCACCTCCAACAAAATTTTCTGAATAACGGCAAGCTTAACAGTTTATTGGATAAAGTAAGCTTTCTAAGCATGCGCTACAGATGTTGACGGAATCTGTGGTATGTGCAGAGTCAACAATTTATTTATCACTCAAAACTCGCGATAATGTTATATATCATGGTAAGCATGCATAAGTCATGCGCGTACTGCTGTTTAAATGTGAAATTGGACACCGTACTTATTTGAGCATAATAAGTATAGACTCCATGTTTTCAAGCTATTGGTACTGAAGGAATTATACAAATTCGGAAATCAGTTTCATCAAATCTTATTGCCAAATCGCGGTCAATAGCTTCCAAAACTCTGGTTCCTGGAGATCGCATGCTTTATTGAGATGGTGTGCGGTGAAAGGTGGGTGCCTCATATGTTTTTTTCTTTTTTTTAATTGACAACCTGTGGTGATTGAGTGAAAAGTACTGCCATTTTAGCCAACCAGAATCATTGAAACTGATGATCATAATTTAGCAGCACACAATAGTAAATCATTGACACCAATTTATGACATTATAGCTATAATTGTCCCATTGTGAGCAGCCTGAAAAAAGCTACATTAGTTGTATCTGAAATCAAATTCATGTTAGATAACATGGGTTACCTGCAATGGATGCTTGATGAAAGTGCATACCATCATGTATGTGTGGAAGTATCATTGAATTTACTTTCACGACCCTAGGCACGATTGCAATTCAAGCATGGTTTTGACACATCTGCAATTTGTAAATTGCGTTTTCTTTCATGAGGTTAAAACTGTTTTCGCCAAAAACATCAAGTTTCGCTTGTAACATCTATTGTTTGTGTGCATCCTGCTTGTTTTAAGACACATTGTTCCAAGTCATTTTAAATATTTTGACAAATTAGGTTTTTTAAGAGACACATGTCACTAAATTGTTTTTTTTTTGGTGTTTCCATCGCAGCCTATGCATGCACCTCGTACGAACTGAGTGTAAAAGAATTCCGGAGAAGCCTTTCATCTACAGTGGCTCGTGGAAAAGTTGGCTACTCAGTGTACAGCAGCTGCGCATGGCTTATGTTTCCTATGGAAAGAACTTCCCTGATCCACCTGGTTGCTGTATTTAGGTAGCTCGCATGTTCAGGATGTTCAATATTCAGCCTTTTGCTTTTCTTTAAAAAGTCAGTGCTGTAAGTTGTGTGTGTAAAAGCCACCTTTGCAGATAGCTAAGTGTTCAGGGGAACACATTGTGCAACAATAATTATCACTGTCAGCCATGCCCTTGAGTACGATTCAGTATTGAACTTATTAGTGAGAGTACAATTCAGAAATGAACTTATTAGTGACAGCAGCAGGCGGCCATGCACGTATGAAAAATTTAAGTCAGTCACATTTTTACATAGGTCCGAAGAATTCTGGCATGCTTGTTCTCAGATATTCCGCTGGAAAGTATAGTTGTGGCTTGTAACATTATATATGCAGGACAGTGATCACTGGCACACAGCTACTTTTCCCTGAGGTGCCACATATAATCTGATCATGGATCGATGCCATAGACAAGCATTATACTGGTTACATTTTTACTATGGGCTGGAACAGCAAGCACTTCCTGCTTGTCTCACCAGTGAGTGATGTTTTGTTGATCCTCGCTGCTTTTCATGCGTAATCATGAAAATCACCATAAGCTTCCGAGTAAAATATCTCAGAGCATAGACATGCTCGAGAAATTTTTCCAAGTGAGAGTGTGTAGAAAACACGACTGCACAAACTGTTCTATGCAAGCATACCCAATTATTGTAGGCCCCAAAATTTTGGTATTCTTAGTTGATTGGGCAGCTGACAGCATTATTGTCTTGCTTTGTGTTCTCCTGGACACATAACTATCTGCAAAGGCAGTTTCTTGTTCTTAGGGCCGAATTTATTACAAGCACAAAGCACGTCCCTGAATGGGTCAGTACTGCTTTCTAAGGTTTTATGTCATGTTTAATTTATGTGTAATCTGCAGTTAGTCACATAAAATTGAACTTTTGGCATTGCATTAAGGCTGTAGCAGATCAATGGTTTTATTTTCACTCTAATATTGACTGAATATTTTGTATTATTGTTTTTGTAACCTTATTTTATTGTCTTCTCGAATTTATTGCCATAAGTGCCATCAAGTGATTTTCTATTGTCATACTTAATCATACCTAACTTTGCGAATACCTAACCATTTGTGATATATTAGCGATACCTAACCATGTTGAACATTGTTATTGATAACTGGAATAATGTAACGTTTTTTACTTCACTGTGTATTTTGTGCGAGTATTTTGGGATGCAATTAGAATTCGGGGTGTTGCTAAAATCCCAATTTGATTGTGAAACCCAGATTTGTGGTGAATTTCATTGTTTCAGCTACTCATGGTTCTAACATATCTAAATTTAGGCCAACTGGGTGAGAAAAAAAATCAATTGTTCGACTGCTGCTTTTTGGCTGTAACAAATTTTCCACATTTATATATTTGCTACTGGGCCAAAGCGTTTGCTAAGCCAGCCTTCTAAATTTCATTGCACTGATAAAAGCCTGCTCGAAGAGAACAGTTTGTGCCTTTTGTATCTGTGCAGGTTCCTAGATCAAGTATTTGGCCAGCCCCTCAATTGCTTTGCATAATTATATTTACTACAAAGCATGCAAGTGTTGGGACAAAGGGAGCAGTCATTCTTATGAATAATAAAGGTCACTAGTGTGCAACAACGTTTGTTGAAATTTGCAATTACTTTTAGATGTGCATTCCGGGCAACACCAGAAACAATAATGAGTTGAAGTTTAAAAGCCCGTCTTGTCTTGAAACTAAACTTATTACCGTAATGATAGATGGCAGTCACTAAATAATTCTTTCAACAATTTTGGCACCGATTTTGCTGAATAGAATATTATGAGCGATATTTTAATGCCAAATAATGTTGCTGTTCCTACTTGTCACTCTCGACAGTAAACAGCTAAATGCACTGATTGTAAAACGTTGACATGGTGCAGCCAATCAACCACGGGAAACGCTCAACAAGCTGGTTTGCATGAAAAATAAATGTCTAAAAAGGTGTTAAAAGCTCTAGCAAAAGTCTTTCTAGAATCTTGGCAAAAAGTTTACTAGGCTTCAGATAGTGTAAGTGTAGTAAACGTTTACAAAGGTTCTTTAAAAAATCTAGAATGACATTTTTTAAACTTCTTGCTAGAAGTTTTCTAGCCGTATAACAACGTGGCGTTAGCACAGCTACAGGAGCATTTCAAGCTGCTTAGGTTTAAATAACATCTCAACAAGACTTCTTATATACTTTTGGATTATCGTTTTTGAACGTTTACTAGAAGTTTTTTTAGCTCTTCTTGTGTTTCGTGGGATGTCGCCATGCTAGAAACACAACTCTGATAATTCTTCCACACTCTATTGTTTGAGCCGTACCTTTAAGTTAACAAATGAATGATATGTGGGGTTTAACGTGCCGAAACCACCATATGATTATCACAGACGCCGTAGTGGAGGGCGCCGGAAATTTCAACCACCTCGGGTTCGTTAACGCGCACCCAAATCTGAGCCCACGGGCCTACAACATTTCCGCCTCCATCGCCTCCATCGGAAATGCAGCCGCCGAAGCCGGGATTCGATCCCGCGACCTGCCGGTCAGCAGCTGAGTACTTTAGCCACTATACCACCGTGGCGGGATTTAAGTTAACAAAGTGCGTGCGAATATGCATAGACTTTCACTGTCAACATGCGTCGAGATGAGCCACAGTGAATTTGACTTCCACCTTTTAGTTCTACCACTATGATTTCCACCAAAGATTGGCCATACCGACCGAGCCCTTACAAGTGTTATCGGCGCTTCTGGATTTCAGAATACACAATTTTGACAAGTAAAAATGACAATACAGCACAGCTATGGCATACTTTATCCTAAATGAAGCCTTTTTATTGTGTACAGTGTCCGCGCAAGGAGCGAGGAATATCGATGCGACGCGCTTTCAGCACTTCCACTTAAGACACGCCTCGCCTCACCGACAGCCGCCGGTCGCACTCGACGGTGCTTCGCTGGCTCTTATGCGAGAACATAGACACGTCAATTCTTATGCTTACTGAACCAATATTATAGCATAATGTTTCTGGCTCACTGCATTCGTTTTGGACAAGCCATTGTGTAGCTGTTCCAAACAACAGAGCAACAGCGGTGCGCTGGTATGGCTGCGGTGTGCGTTGCGCGAAAAACACCAAAATCAATTGTGTGGGCGTATCTATCGAATGGACATTGGTGTACACGTTCCCGAAGGAGTACGGCCCAGCGGGGTCCGGTCTAGCGGCGTGCACGCGTAACCTCGCCGTCGACACGAATGCTCAGTCGCACATTATTGTCAACACCAAACGCAGTACACCCGTTGCAAATAGGCGCGGGAAGCAATAGGCCCACGCCGGGCACAAAGTACTACACAGGGTGCACAGATCTCCGTACTGATCACGGAGACACGGGCAAAGGCCCGGTTGTGAGCGAGGGCACGGCGTCGCGTTGCTTCGAAGGGAGACGGGTCGGCGTAGCGAGGCCACGCACTAGGACACCGTACCGCCCTTCGGCCGTGCGTACGCAGCGGGGCAAACAGCGGGTGAGCGTTTCGCCTTGGGCGCGAGGGCGCCGTCAGCGAAGTCCGACGAGCCCCCGACTGACGGGAGTCGACGGACGAAAGATAGCGTGGCTCACCGTTTGCTGTCCCGGAGAGTATCTGACCGCTCCCGACGCAGCGCGCGAAAAACCTCCCAGGGGTCCCCGCGTGCGGCCGCCACAGTCACATCCGCTACCGGGTGAGGGGAGTTATACGTCACTCCGCCCTTCCCAGCGCGGCAGACAGCAAGGAGGGCAGACATGTCGGGACATGAGAACGGCAGAAAAGGCGGGAAAGCCCGCTTAAAGGCAGCGGGCCAGCCTCAATTCCCACATCCCCCTCTCCTAAATTTGCCCTTTACCGGTCTGCAAAAGGCAGCCGGGCGTCACCCATGCAGTTAAAATGACACTGCTATAAGCGACAGCTAACCTCAGTCCGCCCTCCTACTGCTGCTAAAAAAATGATTACAAGGAGAAACAAACATACATAACAAAATAAAACCATGACACTATACAAATAACTGCGGAAGGGAGCACAGCAACGTGGCACTAGTGTTCGTGGTGCTGAAGGGGGATAGCGTCCAGTGCGCGGGGGGCGCCGTACAGGCGTGACAGTGTCCGCTGGGTGCGATGCCCGAGTGCGAGGGTCAGAGGTTACGGGAGGGGCTCACTGATGGGCTTCGTTGCTCAGGTCTTGATAAGCAGCGAGTCCAGCGACACGCTGCCTCGGCTGTGGCTTCGGAGGCCCCCGCATTTCTGGCTCGATGAGGGAGCTGGACGTTTGCGGGAAGCCGGCCTCTCCGGTGGTCAGGGAGGCCGAACCCCGAATTGGCTGCGAAGCGCCCTGGCGTTGGCCGGCAGCATATAGCGCTTTCAGCTGGCCTCGCGCAGGAGCCATGGTGGGAACGGCAGCAGGGCTTTCTCCGACGGCGGCCGAGAGCAGAGCACAGCCAGACGGTCTGATGTCAATGGGTCAATGACCCCCCAGCCCTCCAGCGTCCGCATCGATGGGGGGAAGCCATCACGCACTCTTCGCGGGCTCGCACTGAAGCGTCACGCACTTACACACGCACACACACCGCCGACGGCTGCGCGAGCGTAGGCGCAAAGCTGCCTTCGTCTCTCGCCCCCGGCAAGCACCGACACGCAAGGTCCACACAGCTCCCTTCGCGGTAGACGAACGAACACGAAAAAAAAAAAGTAAAACAGAGCCATACTGACACTAAACATCTGGCCAAAAAAAACAAAACACAAAATAACACTTAATATAGACAAAAGAAACATAAAATACACATGAACACTTAAAAAAAACTGGCAGCAGACAGGGCTGGGTTTAACTTCTTTACGAGAAAAGGCCGTAAAGAACAACCTATACTGAGGCTAGACAG